AGCCGATGGCAGAAAATACTTTGAACTGTTAATGGACCCCTGCACATTAGACTTGTTAAACACCTTTGGTCCAGTTGTGTTAATTTACCAGAGCAATTTCCGGAATTTTAGATAGTTGTACGTATTTTTTCATGAATGCTATATGATTCTACACCGGATAATTGGGACTTTAATTTCCCAGCGTTACTAACTAATGCCGTCGCTCTAACATAGCATATAAATGACCAGAATTTACCACTCCTACAGACGTATTGGATATATAGTTTTCAATAAGCATCTTGAGATGAACAAAATTGTCAAATTTAAAATTTTGAAATAACTCTTGGCATAAGCAAAACATCTCGGGAACATTTTTTATCTAGTGCATGGGTGGTCATCATTACCTGAGTTTGTAACTAGCTGCATCCTTCATCTTCAATCAAATTCAACTCCAAATCGATACCACCGGTTTTTGAAAAGAACGAGTATCGAACTCCCGATAATTATACTTCGCAGTACCCATAGCACTCACAACATTGCAAACAACGGCAAAAAGCTGTATTTCTTCATCATTTAAATCTGATATATTGAACAAACACTTTAAATATGTACCCATATCATTTGTTGAAACTGTGCAAATCTGGGTCTTTATATTATGAATATTTTTGAATAAAACAACTTTGGCCATTTGGGTGACTCTCTCACATCACTCATTGTAAGACACGGTAAAATTTCGATATTTGATTTAGCCTTTTGAAATGCATCCAAGGTTAACCCATTCTCAAATTTTTTTTGTAACTTTTCTTTATTGGGTCTTTACTTTGTGCTCTAGCAACTCTAATTCAGCCTTTTTAAGTTGTCCTCGTATAACTCATCAGGCGACATAGTTAATATAAAAGTCTATGGAGTGTTATTGATGAAATATTTCTCTATTTGTTTTGGAAATGCCTATTGTCTTCGCTTAGGCTTTCTCGCCGACGGACATCATATCTGACGGAGGTTACTCACTACGTCGCCTTCATGATTCCACAAGGCCGTGGAATTGAACAACAAGGTGATTTAAAAATGGGGACTTTGGTGTTTTAGTGACAACTCACGGTTGTGTTAAACACTTTCAACATGCTGCGAATCCAGCCCCTTCCTTCATAGCGTTAGAAACTGTTTTAGCAAAATGTCGATGAATTTAGAAAAGTCTTCAACTCGAACGTCTTGTAGTCCCACTGCAAAAGTTGTATCCTTATTACCCTGATGAATATCCCGTACTTTGAAGTTTGTAACTTCGGAAAATTTGGTTCAATAAGACTCTTGTAGAATGCCGAGGTTTAGTCCCGGCGGCAATACCTCAGACAGAACGTGTAGTTCAAGAATTCTCTTGTATGTTGGTCCGCATCCACATCAAGAGGAGCACTAGCGTTTTGGCTTTGCCTGGGTCCAGTTACGGCGCCGCATATTATTCTAGCCTACCAGAGATGTGTACATTACGGGGCTCTGTCCATCGCTTTTGCTGAGGTATTCGACTGTATGAGATGTCGATCCAACATTCTTCTGATAAGTACTCCTTATCGAGAAGTTCAAGAGTTTTAGTTGGATCAAATGTTCCGTAGGAATATATCCGAGAGTTACCTTGGGTGATAATATTTTTTGTGGAACTCAATCAAATCAGTGTGATTTAATTTAGGTATATCCAAAGGATTTCCTCAGACACATGGCCATACGTGTGGCCAGGAAATAAATTATTGAGAAGTTTTTGACTGAAAGCTTCTGCATTTTCAGAAAAGACACCCTTCATTTCATTATAAACTACTCTTTTATAACAAGCTGTGAGCTTTGATCATGTATATCTTTGTTTTCCAGCCTCCATCCCTCTTGAAGAAAATCCAAATAGGTAAGATTTGGCCTACGTAAAAAAGTATAAATATATACCAATCGAGGTCTTTAATTTTGAGCTTACCTGAAGACAGCATCCAAGTAAATTCGCTGCAAATTCCTAAAATCTATCTCATTCATAGTGGGAAAAAGGGTATATAGTATGGTCCGGACCTGTCATCGCATTCATAAACGTTGCTACCGAGCGGTTAATCATCTTAAAGAATGGATCCCGGACAGGATACTTTTTTGAACCGCATAACGATAAGTGCTTCCAAAATATGAGAAAGTCCAGTAGAATCGAAAGGAGTTGTTCGAAAATTTATAGAAAATACGTTATTTGCGTCATTTCCGGTCGATATGCCAAAACTCCGTTCCAGTTCCTTCATGACGTAGCGTATAGGGATGTAAGATCAAATTCAGAAACATGCTCAACACGTTCGCACCGAAAACCATGATATACATTTCCCTCGGTATACCTGCTATTACGTTTATAACTTACATGCGGCGCAATAACCTGCCTATGTAATAATTTGGGTTTCTTAGCTTTAGCAGCAGATGTCTTTACAAATGTTGATAGGGACTTAAAACTTGATGTTACACATCTAGCCCGTACAACGTAGTGACGTGTAGACCTCAGCAAATTCAACCGAGAAAACATTGTTGTGTCCTAGAGAAAAGCACAACTTTTCAGTTATCTGAATTGGTATCACATTTACAGGTTCTATACATATACGAATACATGTGTCTGAAGAAGCTAGAAGTATGTGACATATATATGTATGTATATATGGTTTTTACAGTGGATAACTTTAATAATCGGCTTCTTATATATTTAAAATAAAAAGCTTATTTAATTACCTTTTCATAGATATAGATATATAGCATCATGGAATCAGAATTTGTATTGGTATATATACATAAATTGGCCTTTGCCATTTACATTTTTTAAATAGTTTCATGTAAATTCTAAGTCCAATTTGGCGTCACTTTTTCGCCTTATCATGTAAGGCGTTAAACTTGTTCTGCTTGTCTACATAGACTAAACCCTAACATAACCCCACAAAATATTCTCAAGGGGCGTTAAATCGCGTGATCTGGGTGGCCAAATTACAGGGCCATTTCGTGACATAAGCTTCTCAACAAATTTATATTTCAACATGTCTATTGTTTCACAAGCTGTCTGGCCTGTGGGGCTCAACCCAGTTCAACTTAGTCAATTGTTTAATATCCAACAAGGTAATTTTAGTGCAAAATTTGGTGACAACAGAACGAATTGTTGAAGAGCAAGAATTAGACTTATGACGTTTAGATGCCATTACCAACTAGTGCCTCGAGAACGAAAAATTTAACTCTTAAAAAATCACCCGTTATTAGGACTGAATTAACCCAAATATCCCGAAAAAATTTCAAAATATGTTAAAACACTTAAATGATGGGATGGATATGTTTGTTTTCTAGAAAAAGTAGTTATTTCTAGGTAACTACTATGAATAAAATAAATATTGAAGTAACGACAAATTGCGCGTTTTTCATTGGTTTCTCTTTTAATTTTAAATAAAGTCCTAATATATACATATGTACATACCTATGAAAAGGTAATAAGCTTTACTATACCATTTTTAATTTAGTTTTTAAAGTTACTTTTAACCATTTTCTTTTCGTTTAAGTTCAAAATATACAGACATACATATGTATCTACATACCCAGTATATTACTATAAAGAGAATATTTAGCAGCCATACATACAGTTAGTCAATAAAGTATTTGTTGCTAGGGTGCGTCAGAGAATATTGCAGTTTTTTAATGGTTTTAAATTTCAAAATGGGTATACATATGAACATACATCTCGAGAGATGTCTTAGCTATTTTTTTTTTGTTTTTCTATGAAAAACGCAGCAATGGACCTCGTTTTTTTAAAATTTCTTGTTATATTTAAAAAATAATGATTAATTTAAAACAAAAACTTAAGTAAACCATTTTTTACTCTTTCATTAAGAAAATAAATCCACTTGATCATGCAGTACCATCACAACGAATACTTTATTGACTAACTGTACATATTTGTATCACAACAAAAATTTTTTGACGACCTCGTTCCTTCTGGACTTATTTTTTTAATTTAACGATAAAGTATTCTTTTTGCTATATTTACCAATTTTTTTTACAATTTAGGCATACCAAATTATAAATAAATTAATAAAGAAATCACTAAAAATTAAGTCTCCATACTTTATATAATTGGTATACAACTAGAGTTGAGAAAAAATCGATGTCGACATCGATTCATCTTTTTCGGTCGATGCATAGATCCGGTTTTAAAACAATCGATGTATCAAATCCATTTTTAAGAAAAATTCCACTACTGTGAATAAGAGAGAAACAAAACGTGCCCTAAGACTAATTTAATTGAAATTGTGAATTTATCTCTCGATTTAACATATTTTTATTATGGGAGAAAAATTTAATATTTTTTATAGAATTTCAGGTATATATTCTCTCATTCAGTGTTTAGTACTTGTTTTGCAATGCTAGAGATTGAAATTTAATACTTATATTTCGTTCTTATGTTATTAAAATTCATCTGATATTTGTATTTTCTTATTTAATTCTTTTTTTATTAAATTCATACAAATGTAGTTTTGTTTACTAATAGTTTAGAAGATTTTCATTGAGATCCATGATTAAAAAAAATATAATAACGGTTTAATCGATGTGTTTTTCTAAGCGATCGAAAAGAATCGATGCACTGAGAATAGATTTTTCCCCTGCTATACTGCAAGGTTCTTAAAGAAGAAAACCCACCAAAAAAACACCCACAGCCACCGTTCCAGATGTTAATACTTCAACCCCTCCCAAGACAACAAGGTTAACACCGAACAATGTTAAACATCGAAGACCAAACTCCGTTCAATAGAGCTGGGAGTGCTCTAAGCTTGTTGTATTTAATGTCATTAAAATAAAATCTTTCGGAAAAATAACGGCTTCCGCCAGAGTAACTTTCCTTGAGCGACCGCTCTTAATTGGTATACTAAAGAAATATAAGCATTGTCTTAGAGCCAGCAGCGCCCGTTACTTCGATTTATCTGCCTATGTCGAAGGCAAAGCTTAAACTGTTCTGCATGTCGGGCTTACTTGCGCTACCTTCGTCCCATCTTCTTCACTTTCACTTTCAAATTACCGTTTCACTTCTCTATATGGGCCCCGGACGCTCATCAAGACTAACCTAGGTGGTTGACACTTCACATTCACTGAAAGGCCGAATAATCTAATTCGAATAACATTATCTTAGCAAACTAAAAATAAAATATAAAAGTATCTGCAAAAGTATTAATTTTAATAAGAAATAATATTCAAATAGTTTTTTTTCACTTTAAACAAAATTTACTCCAAAAATGTTCATTAAAATATATATTTTAATATTTCAAAATTTAATTTAATTCGTATTCATTTATTTATATGCCTTTATTCTAGGCCACACGGACCGGTCACAATTGCTATTTATTATTTATGCAAAAATAAAATAAAAAATTTCCTCAACGAAAAATTACGTTTGCTAGTGTATTTCTCTCTTTTTCTTTGAAGCTGTATTAAATTTAAACAGACCACTTACAGTTTCTCCTTGTGATTATGGAATTTGTTTACAGTTGGGTGCCAATTAGGTTATGATATAATGGGGGTCACCATGGTGCTGGGGTCAACGTCCGGTGAACGGCCTCTTCCCGATCGACTGAGGAGTACCGTTCGGTGGCGCCTTGAAATGGCCGGCGGGTTATGTAACCAGGCCGGCGGAATATGTAACCAGGCCGGCGGATTATGTGACGAGGCCGGCGGGGCTTGAGTCAAACGTGGTCTCCTGGCCAGGCGCAGATTTATGGAGGCGCAGATGTTTGGTCATCGGAGGGCTCTCCGGGATGCAGCGCCTTCGTAGGTGACCGGGTGTAGGGCGCCAGTTAGACGTCGTTAAGTAATACGGTGGAAGGAACTACCTTCGTTGTTAGTGGTCCTTAAGGTACGATAACTCAAAACGGAAATATAATCGGTTATATATAACCGATTCCGCCAGACTACCTTACCTTGAGCGACCATTCTTTATTGGGATACTCAAGAAGGCTTAAACCAAGATCTAAAAATTTAAAATTTTCTTATCAAAAAAGAAAATGATAATACATAAAATACATTCAATCATATTTAAATCAAATGACATAATTAATTTTTTTTTTGTGAAATAAAAAAATTTCCCGCCCACAATAAAAAGAAGTTAAGTTTTTTTTTCTTTAATAGTATTATTATTTTATATTCATATGCTACCATATGACCAGTATTCAGTTTCAAGGGATTTTAAGAACACCCTTTATGTGCGTTCGTCACTCTTCTTCTTGCGTCCCATACAACACATTTGATGGCGGACGCCAGCCGCTCTAAAGGCACCGAACTATCTGAGGTAATTACCTACTTCATGGCCAGCTTTTAGAGGCCAGTCATAGTCGCTCTATGGGATGTCCACACTTCAAGTGGATTGCATTCCCATGAAGCACTCGATGTCTCTTTGGAATTCAGAGTAACGAAGTCAAAAATATCAAAAAATATCCAAAAATATCAAAAATATCGGAATTCCGATATTTGGGCAAACAAAATATCCCGATATATAATAATATATCCCGATATATAATTTTTAGAAAATTATATAGATATATTGATATACTATCAACAACCCTACACAAAACAATAACTAAAACAAGGAATGGTAAAACGAGAACCGGTCTTAAAAGTTTTGGGAGAGCTAGAAAGTGTAATCGTGGTATGTCCCAACGTAGAGTGGGTATATGTATATAAGTTGTACAAGTTTTTTTGGAACAAAAAATAAATCAAGAACAATCGTTGCGGCTTTTTTGGAATCAAAATCCAATTTTTTATTATAAGATTGAATTGGCCTTTTCAGACCTCGGCCTATGAGTTTATATATTACATACATATGAGTGTATGTGATACGATTGACTTCGCCTCAGTTAAGCCCATATTGTAGGAAATGCAATGAATAACATAGCATTTCTATTTGCATTATGTACAGGGAGAATTATCCCATTTAATCCAGCTTAGTGGATCCCAGACTTAGATTTTTATACCCGTTACTCGTATAGTTAAAGGGTATACTTGATTCGTTGAAAAAGGAGGAAGGAAGCGTTTCCCACCCTATAAAGTTTATATATTCTTGATCAGTATCAATAGCGAAGTTGATTGGCTTTAGAAAACGCATTTTAAAAATACCACTGCAACTTGTCACGAGTTTTCATCCGGCAACGCCCACTCTAACGCCCACAAACCGCGGAAAACTGTGGCGTCTATAATATTATTAGGAATGCCTTCGTTTGACCTTGTATAACTTATTTCTGTTAATATCTATCGATTTGCCAAAGATTTTGTAAATCGGAACATTATTTCGCTATTTATGAAGAAATTTAAATTAGAAGGCCTCACACGCCACTTTTAGTTACTCAACAGCTTTCTCTAACAATAGATGGCGCTTTGTAAATTTCCAGTGGCAAATTAATATTTTAAAATTGTGTAAAACAATAACGGATATCTTAAAGATAAATTAACATTTGTATTCTTTTTTTCACGCTACCGATAACCGCATTTGAAAAAACTTTGGTCTTTGTCCGCATAATCCGTGTTTAGCAACTAAGAATTTGTAATTGCGTTAGAATAAATAAATCGGGGCAGTTTAATTTCCAAATTTTTATTACGAGTTCAAATCATAACCAAATTAACTCCGCAACAAAACCACGCAGAATGCAAGAAGTACCGCTTAACTAGAAAAGCTTCAAGCTACAGCAGTAATACAAAGTTCCCAAAAGCGCTTGCGCTACAAAGTAACAGTAAAGCGCATTCGAAACTGAGATAATCAAACAAACCAGAAACTGCTGAAAAACCCGCCGCTGCTCATCAGTCTTTGCCTTGGCTGCTTGGCCCAACTCCCTGCCCCCGTTGAAGTCTCGCCCTTCAACAAAGACCTTGAAGAGCAGCCTAGACACCTTGCCGCCTTGTCGTTCTAACAGCTGTCTTTAGTACAGCAACACAGATCAGTTTTTACAGACCGATGGAACTTGTAGGTGGTCAAAAGAGCGCCCTCGTTGAGCAAAACGCTGCAGCTGCCAGCATCCAATGGCCACCATCGTTGTCCTTATTGTTCCCTTATGCTTCACGAACTTGCCCTTGGGATCGATCTCCTTGTACTCCACATTGCCTTTGGCACTGGCTGACACATAGTAGTGCTTGCCGTAGACAGCGATTTCCAAATCCAGAGGGACCTTGATGTCCACGAGGTCCTGGTATTGATAGGCTTCTTCTCGAGCTAAGCCACCTCTTGGTGGTGACGCTTGCGAGTGTTATCTAGTTTCTGCTCCAATTCACGCACGAGCTCAAAATAGTGAGTCTTGGCATTTAGACTGTCAATACGAACACGAGTCGAGCGCAACTCTTCAATGGACTTGTGCGTAGAGTTGGATGTGCGTGCAGTAGCCCCTTATAGACGACGGACTTTATCATCGTATAGCGACTCGATAATTCGCACCTCTTGGTCGTGACGCTTGCGAGTGTTATCTAGTTTCTGCTCCAATTCACGCATGAGCTCAAAATAGTTAGTCTTGGCATTTAGACTGTCAATACGAACACGAGTCGAGCGCAACTCTTCAATGGACTTGTGCGTAGAGTTGGATGTGCGTGCAGTAGCCCCTTATAGACGACGGACTTTATCATCGTATAGCGACTCGATAATTCGCATCTGCTCGTCATACTGGGAGCGCGGCTCCTATAGCGACTGCTTCAACTTGGCATCCTACTCGAAGCTGAGGCGTCCATCGATTACGCTGTTACCTGTCTGGCGGATACGGCGCGACTTATTTATCTCCTGTGAGTGGAAATGATCCTTGAATAACAGCTCCTCACGCAGGCTCTGAATCGTAATTTTAAAGTCAAAACTTGTTGGAGAGAGCAGATCAAAAAACAGGCTGGCTCCAATCAGCAAATCCACACGTAGCGCTCAGTGGAAGCTCGGACAGGATACCGCACAGGGCACACGGAGCAGGCGGTGGAGTAAGGAGCATCCACGAACTATTATTAAGTGGACTACGTCGGCTCACTTGATCCGCTGGCAGATGTGGAGCTAAGGCCATATTCACAGTCTCAAGGGTACGGCACCTTTGTTTCAAAAACCGAGCCATAGATCCCCAAGTTGGCAGGCTGTCGGCACTGTTTCCTGCAAGAGAGTGTTCCCACTTTGCCATTGTGCAGGGTCCAGTTTTTGAAAGATAATCTAGATCAGGAGGCATCCTCCAATTTCGTCAGCCGTCCCGAAACTGAGGGAGCAGTCAGCTCCAGACTCCATCCAAAACAGAATGAGATGTCGCCTAAACTAAACTAAGAGTTCTTAATTGCTTTAAAATAAATAAATCGGGGTAGTTAAATTTCAAAAATTTGTATTACTGCAGAATGCAAGAGCTTAAATAGAAAAGCTTCGAGCACAGCAGTTCTTCAAACCTCATACGTTACAAAGTAACAGTAAAAGCCCATGCAAAACCGAGATAATCAAAACCAACTGGAAACTGCTGATCAACCCGCCGCTGCTCATTCGTCTTTGATTTGCCTGCTTGGCCCAATAATCCGTATAAAGTTTACTAGAAGGAAAAAAATAAAGTCCAGTCGCTATGCTTGATATCTTACCTGTGGAAAATAGAACTGGCAGCTATTCTTGCGAAATTCTCGGGGACACAACGGAAAAAATCGAAGAGATGAGAAGTCGGGTTTCCATTTTCAAAAGCCATCAGGACCTCCCGTGAGTAAATTTAAGCAAGCCTTTTTCGACTTTTTTCTGCCATCCAAGTACTTTCAGTGAATAGATGCCATTCGACTAATGATGGTTCCCGCTCAGGAAATGACGGGGATCTACGAGAATGTGCCATAGGAGTAACTTGGACGTTAACCGCGAGGTTGCTAGGGATAATCCTCGGCCAGCACGATATGATTACAGCCATGCGCGGTAAGGCAGAATACTGACATGGGACACGCGAAACGGAAAACCAGGATTATCAACTTTTGTTCCAGAAGCTAATACTAGCAGATCCTAAATGCGGAGGCACCCCAGTTTTACCAGAAACTCTATTGCTTGTCGGTGAAACATTAGCTATTATCAAGGAAACCAAAAAGCATCCATAAAGCTGTCTAACCATTAGTGAGCAAATTTTTTGCTGAGAAATTGGCCAAGTTTGAAGGACTGATGGAGTCTCGCATATCGCTGAGCATTCCATCATCTTGTAGCAGCTATGATATGAAAAATATATATTGATACTGGATACCTTTGCCCCACGGATCCGAAGAAGATATCGGCAGTGTGTCGACTTAGTCCCCCAAGAACCAGCAAAGAACTACGTGGAAAGAAGATCAACAAAACACATTGGAGAAGCTAAACGGTTTGAGTTAAAGACGGATCCCAGCCCTATAGGTCTGGGAGCCGTGTTAACACAAGCCATACAAGGGGAAGGGCAGGTCATCACATTCGCTAGCAGGCGTCTCTGTAGACGCTAACGAAACCACTCTGCTTATGAAAATATGTCTGCGCGTTGGGCACTAGAACTTCAACAATACCAGCTCGACGTATAAAATGTACGGGGAAGTCAAAACGTCTTGCAGATGATATGGGAAAACACCCCACTAAAGCCCACGAGAAAAGAAAAAAACCACCCCAAACCTAAAATAAAAGGAGAAGAATTATAATATATAAAAGTGTTGGTACACCCCCTCTCTTCAAACCAACAAAAAACTGGCAAAATGCAGAGAGAAAAAAAAAGACCAAAAAAACAACCAAACTAACCAACCAAATTCACAAAAAAAAAAAAAAACATAAAAAAAAAAAAAAATAATTACGTGGGGGAGGTAGGAAAGGCAAAACCCAAACAAACCAACAAACCTCCGCTCCATAAAAAAAAAAGTAAAAAGTAAAAAAAAAAAAAAAAAAAAAAAAAAAAAAATTAATTTTAGTTTAGGGAAAATTTGGGTTAAAATAGGGGGGAAGAAAATTATGGAAAAAAAAAAAGTTAAAAAAAAAAAAAAAAAAAAACGAATAGAAAAAAAAAAAAAGAAAACATAAATTAAACAAAAAAAAAACCAAAAAAAAAAACAAAAAAAAAAAAAAAAAAATAAAAAAAAAAAAAAAAAAAATAAAGCCGACCGAAAGAGATCCCCTGGGAGTTGCCTTTAACGTTGCTTAGCCAACACCGAAACAAGAAAGCCAGTCTTGTAGCGTAGAACAATAGCATAAACAAACGACGATGTTTTATTCTGTATGAAATACATATATCAGATTTAACCTATTTTCACAATCAGTTTTACATACCGCAGTCTCGCCTCCCAGTCTCTTTGATCTCTCCAATCGGAATAAATCTGAGCGGGAGATTCTGGCTTACAATTCACCATTTCGTGTGACCGCATTTAGCTTTACAATATGATCTCTCTAACGATTTACAACATCGATAACAAATACTGAAATACTTGGCGCTACATTTAAATTTACTAAACCTTGAGCGATATGTTAATCCGTTCCACGACATCCCCACCCCGGTGAAGCAACTGCATTCACCACATCCAGGATAGCCAATCTGGAGATGGGACGCATGATTAACTTAGCTCGATCGCCATTGGTAGTGCGTACCGCCGCTCGTCGTGGTACTCCATCCGCTCCTGGGTACACTTCCTCCACGACGCCTTTCCTCCATTCTCGACGAGGGATGGCCGGATCACAGATGTACACGAGATTCCCTGGGCGCATAGGCTCGACATGCTCGCACCATTTCTCCCTGCGAACAAGCGTCGGTAGATACTCATGTACCCAACGTTTCCAAAATCTGTCTCTCATCATCCGTGCGATACGCCACTGCTTCCTAGTAGCGCACTTGACAGGCTGCTCTCCGCGATCTCCAGGAAGGTCCGGAACATTAGCCACTCCTCTTAGCAGATCGTTGGGCGTTAGCGGTGCCTCCTGATCCACAGTGACTGGAAGGTGGGTAAGCGGACGAGAATTAACAATATTCTCCGCCTCAATAAGAAAGCTCTCCAAGACGTGTTCCTTAGGAGCCACCTCCTTCACAGTATGCGCGAGCACCTTCTTCACACATTGGACCATCCTTTCCCAGATGCCGCCGGCAGCTGGGTTCGCGGGACAGTTAAAGATCCATTCGATTCCTTTGGATGACAGCTCATCCTGGATCTTTTCTGGTTCGAAGACTTCATCGAACTTTCTGGCCTCACGATCTGCTCCAATAAAGTTCTTTCCATTGTCGCTCCTCAATCTGACCACCGGTCCACGGCGGCACATAAAATTCCTCATAGCGATGATGCAGGAATCTGTTGACAAATCGTGGGCTATCTCCAGGTGGACAGCCCTGGTGGTTAGACAAGTAAAGAGTGCGACCCACCTCTTCTCAGTGCGACGTCCAATCGTCACAAACAGCGGACCAAAGTAGTCCAAGCCAGTATACTTGAATGGCCATCCATTCGGCTCCAGCCGGTCCTCTGGCAACGGACCCATCAATGGCGGAATTGGTCGTACTCTCCGGAGTTTGCATAAGTTACAGGTTGCCATAACACTCCGTAAAACTCTCCTTAAATTGGTTATCCAGAACCTGGTCCGGATCTCGCTTATGGTCGCGTCTAGATTCTGGTGCTTCATCTTCCTGTGGTAGTGACGAACTATCATCTCTGCCAGTGCGTGTTTGTGCGACAGTATGATCGGGCGCCGTGCGTTGAATGGGACGCATTCGGCGGCATCAATCCGTCCACGCGCTCGTATGATTCCATCGTGGTCGACGTAAGGGGATAGTCCTCGTAACTGACTGCCTTTCGCCACTGCCTTTCCTTGAACTTCATCTGCGAACGTATCAGCCTGGGCGCGCTGGATCAGTTTCCGTTCTGCCTCCGCGCACTCAGTAGCTGTAATACCGTAGGCCTCACTCTCGTCACTCAATCCACGGCACCGTCGTATGAACCTGAGGATCCACGCTGTGGTCCTGACCAATCGATTATAATTCGAAAATCTCTGCAAAAATATAAACTCGTTGGCAATTACCAGTGTAAACTCACACGGCATCTCTTCTTCTGCGGAGTGTGGACTGTCGCGATCACTTGGAGATGGCTTGGGCCACTGTTCTTCCGACTCCCGCAGAAATGATGGCCCGCTCATCCACCTTGCCCCTTGGCTGAGGTCCACATGGCGCTGTGGCCTCGTCGCGTCATCTGCCACGTTTTCGGCAGACGGTATCCACCTCCATTGAGACACCTCCGTTGACTCTAAGATCTCCGCCACCCGGTTTCCAACGAACTGCTTATACCGCCGGTGGGTGCTGCTTATCCAGTGCAGCACGGTCTTAGAGTCAGTCCATAGCACGCATCTGCTGATCGATACGTCGTGCTCTCGTCTTACGGTGTCCATCAGCCTGGTTCCTAATACAGCTGCTTGGAGCTCCAGGCGCGGGATCGTCATCGTCTTCATCGGGGCGCATTTCGTTTTGGAACACACGAAATAGGACCGCACATCATCGTTGTCATAAGTCGCCCTCCAGAATGCAACTGCTGCGAACGCCGATTGGCTGGAGTCCACAAACACATGTAGCTGCAGTTCACGTACGCATCCCGTGCCAAAGTAGTAGCGTGGACAGCGGAAATCTCTCACGTAATCCATTTCCAGCCTCCAGCTCTCAAACGCTTTGGCTAACTCATCCGGCAACGGCTCGTCCCACTGAACTCCTCTCCGCCAAATCTCACGCATCAATAGTTTGGCGGTTACCATGAAGCAGCTCAAGAATCCTATCGGGTCAAATGTTGACATAACCAGACTTAGGAATTCTCTCTTGGTGGGTGCACGTTCTCCGGTCATCACCCTGCTGGGAACCCTGTGGTACTTTACGCTGAATTTAAAGTCATCCGTCGCTGGGTGCCAGTACATGCCTAATATTTTCTCCTCCGCTTCATTCCATTCAACGTTCTTATTGGATCCTAGTGGGTTCAAAGCCTTGACCACACTTTCCGAACTTGATGAGAAGCGGCACAAATCGAAACCGGCCTCAGCATGAATTTTCCTTACTCGTTCTGATACAGCGATAGCTTCTTTCTCGTCCGAGAAACTATCCACGTAGTCATCTACATAGTGATACTCATTGATGGCCTGAACCGCGCGAGGATCTGCTTGGGCGTATCTTGAAGCGTTTATGGTCTTCACATGATGCGCTGAGCACGGCGAACAAGCGGCTCCGAACGTCATCACAACCATTTCGAACAGATCTGGATCTCGCCGGTCATCTCCATTCCTCCACAGGAATCTCTGGGCGCATCTATCCTGGGGCTGTATCAGCACCTGATGAAACATCTCCTTTATGTCTGCGCAGACCCCGACTGCTCCTTCCCGGAAATGGAAGAGCACGGCTGGCAGGGACTTGAACTGTTGTGGGCCTTTGAGTAGAACTGAGTTCAAAGATGTATTGCCCACTTTGGCTGCGGCATCGAAGACTAGACGGATCTTTCCGGGCTTGTTTGGGTTCTCGACCCCGAAGTGCGGCAGGTACCAGATCTTGTCCCGGTTATCGGCTGCCACTTCCTGCTGCTCCAGGCGTCGTGCGTAACCCTTGTTGACGTAGTCCTCCATGATCGACTTGTAGGCCCGTGCAAAGCTGTCATCCCGTCTCATCTTCCTTTCAATGCCGACAAGTCTTTTGAGTGCCATGTTATAGCTGTCAGGCAGGCTCACTTTATCATCTTTCCACAGCAATCCAGTTTGGTATCGTTCGCCCACTCGCCTAGTCGTCTCGTTCAGGATTCCCAAAGCCCGTGCGTCGCCACTAGCTGCGACTGGTGGCGCCGGCTTCACTCCGAAATTCTCTATTTCGAAATAGTCGCTGACCATCTTCTCGAGATGATCATACTGTGGGACGGCTAGGAGGCACGATCTTTGCATTGGTGAACTCATCTGACTTCTTACAGGACCAAAAACCACCCATCCTAGCTTGGTGGCGGCTGCATAGGGTCCTCCTGCTCCGAAGCTCCTGTTTTGCATAGGTATTCCTAGGTGCGCATGGTCTAGTCCGATTAAAATCCTCGGGACCGCATTACGATACGGTTTCATCGGCAGGCGTGCAGAAGCCTTCGCCGCTTTGACATCTTCCCGACGCAGACTTTGCATCGGAAGATTGAGGTTAGAGACCGCATACACATTTTTCAAAGCATGGCGTTTCGGTCTGCCCGCTTCACTAATCTGGAGGCTGACCATCTTTGTGTTCTCTTTCGCTGACTTGCCACCGAACCATTGAATGTTGAGCTGCCGACTCTCGCCTTTTAGGTTTAGGCTTCGAGTGAGCTCCTCGTCGATCAGGGTCACGGACGAACCTTCGTCGAACAGCGCGTAGGTATCCAGCTGCGTATCCTCCCCGTACAGCGTCACGGGCAAAATACGGAATAGTAAGTGTCCTCCATCCGGATCGACGCAACTTAGGTTCCGATGTGGCAATCCATTCCCGTCACTTGGCTGACGGCCTTCGTCCGCTTGCGCCATGCATCCTGCGTCTGTGCAGATGCCGTAAGTGGACTTCTCTGGGCCAGATCATCTGGCTGATGTACTTGCTTGTCCACCTTCCTCCTGTCAGCGCCCGCATGTACCATGCGACCGCGATCGCTCCTTTCATTTGGCCATGGTCGACCGTGGGGTTGCGATGGCCGTGTGGGGTTGCCCACCCCGTCATGCAGGAGGTAGTGATGCCCCATCTGGCATCCGTAGACGTTGCACTTGCTGTTTCTCTTGCAGAACCTGGACATGTGACCGCTCTCCAGGCACGAGAAACAAATCCGATGCTTTCTTACATACTCCATACGGGCAGTCGGAGTAGCGTGGTTGAAATCCTTACAGTCCTTGATAGTGTGTTGCCCCTCGCAAATTGGGCAACTCCTGGGATGATCTTCAAATAGATCCTGATCCTTCTGACTGGTGCTGGCGTGCAATACCCTACGCTTAGGATCCTTGCTGTCGCTGCTCGTAATAGTGCACACTAATTTAGCGAGTTCGTTTAGCCATTCGCTCAAGTGCGCGACAGTTGGGTAGCACCCTATTACGGCGGCGTGCCTGGCCCAATCCAACCTTTTGCTCAGTGGTAGCTTGGCGATCAGCTCTTCCATCAATGTAGGATTTCCTAGGTGCTGCTCCCCGTTCGGGCTTGACTGTAAAAACGCTGCGAGATTGCTGACCCGTGTTGCAAACGGCACGATCTTTATTATATTGTGTTCTTGGATCGGCTGCACCTCTCGCACGCTTTCCAGTTGGCTACGTATCAGTTGCTCCGGGCGTCCATATCGGAAACGTAGCTGATCCATTACAGCCTGAACGTTATTCGGGTGTATAAGCAGCGACTTGACAGATGCTCGCGCTTCACCCTTCAGGGCTTTCACTAGCCTCTGGTTGTTCTCCAACGCAGTACAATTATACGCCGCCGTCGTCTCCGTGAACGCGCATTGGAATATTGGCCATTCCTCAGGCTGACCTTCGAACTCTGGAAGATCAGGCAGTCTGCGCGGCGTCCATCCAATTAACGGGCTCGGCGAAGCTATTCCGTATGAACCAGTTGATTGCGGGGGTACCATCAGGTTGCGAAGAGGTTCCCGCGTAGCTTGCATGTAGCTTAGTGCTGGCTGCACAGTAGCCGTCACGCAGCATGGTGTGGAATAGCTTAACGTTGTACTGTTTGTACTGAGTGTGACTTGTTGCCCTATTGCCAGATTTCCACTCGATTGTGGCGGCAGGTTTCCACTCAATAATGGCGGCAACTGTTCATGTAAAAATGGCGTCACTGACTCAGCCAAATTCGGTGCCAGATTTCCACTCAACAATGGCGGCAGATTTCCACTCAAGTTCTGCCCTGGCGTTCCGCTCAAACATGGCGGCGCATTCGCCGCACCGCTCGCTCCTATACCGCTTGATCCGTTTCTAACGGGATCCCTCGCGGCTGCATCTTGCCCTTCACCTGACCTCGCCTTTTGAAGCTCCCTTTCCAAGGTAGCGATCCTCTCCATCAGCGCCGCAAACTTGGCGGTTGTGGTGTCCGTATCCTGGCCTGATCTATCAGGCTTTGGAGCACCACTTGGGATTAATCCCGGTTGCTTTGGAGTCCGTGGCCGCTGCAGCTCACCGCCCGATAAGCCCGGCACATTCTTCGGACTGCCGGCTGATGTGGTCGCGGTGGTCGTAGTTGCAGTTGCGGGAGCTCCCGTCTGTCCAATTCGGGGCTCCGCCGGGGTGAATGTGAAGTCGGCATTGCACGATAAAGGAGTGCGAATAAAAGAAATGACGCCGACCGAAAGAGATCCCCTGGGAGTTGCCTTTAACGTTGCTTAGCCAACACCGAAACAAGAAAGCCAGTCTTGTAGCGTAGAACAATAGCATAAACAAACGACGATGTTTTATTCTGTATGAAATACATATATCAGATTTAACCTATTTTCACAATCAGTTTTACATACCGCAGTCTCGCCTCCCAGTCTCTTTGATCTCTCCAATCGGAATAAATCTGAGCGGGAGATTCTGGCTTACAATTCACCATTTCGTGTGACCGCATTTAGCTTTACAATATGATCTCTCTAACGATTTACAACATCGATAACAAATACTGAAATACTTGGCGCTACATTTAAATTTACTAAACCTTGAGCGATATGTTAATCCGTTCCACGACATCCGTTAACTTAGATATTAACAATGAATAAAGAGAATGTAATAAGTTGGAACACTTAAATAGTGAAGAATTTGAGTGTTTAAAAATATCATATATGACTATAGTTATTTCTAGCTTCAGCGATTCTGCGATTTTATTTTTTTTATTTTAATGAAATGAAAATAAAGAAAATATTAAACAATTTATATGTATATGTTTTTTTTTAAATTTCTTTTTAAAATATCTAAATAATATTTTTGTCCATGATGCCTTCTATAAACTCCAGTTCGTTGACCCCTGAAGCGGACATGCAGCCCCCACACAACAACGCCTCCACCACCATGTTTCACCGTCGATAGAAGGTTATTTTTCTGCAGCTCAGTATTCGGTTTTCTCCAAACGCATTGCCCGCCATCAGATTGGAAAATTTTGATTTTGCTTTAATCCGAAAATATTACATTATTCCAAAAATCAATTGGCTTCTTCAAATATTCTTTCGCATAGTCTAATCGCGTCTTCTGATTCCCTTTTGATATAACTGGCTTTCTTCTAGCCACTCGGTTATTATAATTTGCCTGATGCAGGGTCCCTTGCACCGTTATTGGATGAATTTATTTTCCAAACTTTTTTTTAACTTCTGCTGCGATCTGAGTTGAAGAAATTTTTGGGTCCACCTTCACCATTTTCATAATGTGGGCCTGTTCCCGGGCGTTCAAAGCCTTGGGTCGTCCGGTGTGTTTTGCGCTTTCCAAAGAAGAAGCTCCCTTAAACGGCTTATGATGTGCGTATGTGGGTCGCACATAACGTCCAACATACTCTGCCGTATCCTCCTCAATCCCATTGAAGATTTGTGCGAAGGAGCTGGACAGGTGCGTTAAAAAACGCGCGATAAAAACAAATTCCGGCTGAAAGTGGCTCTAATAGAAAAAGGGGCAGAATATTGGGGCAGAAACAACCCAAAATTTCGTTTCTTCGATGCCAAGACGGTTGGAAGCCTTTATAAAACAAAATGGCTTACCCACAAAGTATTAATTTTAGTTATTTTCATTTATTTTTAAGTTTTTCAATAAGTGTGCCAAAAATTTTGTTCAGCCAAATTCACCTCTTATTTATGTTATTTAATTTTTAAAAATCAACCATTGAAGGTAAAAAGTTGAAATAAACTTTGTCGTGTTATGTTTTTATAACATTATATGTATAAATTTTGGTTTATTTAAATATCTCAATTTTAAGGGGAGAAATCGTGCCCTAAAGTTCATGAAGCCTTCTGTGCCAAAAATTTAGTTCGGCACTGTATGTGCGCGCATAACTCTCTGTCTCTGCACGTTTTACATATTGTTACTTTACTTATATATAAAATATATAAAATGGCTGCTAGCAATCCTTAGTTTAAGAGATATAAAGAACATATAATAAAAGACGATCAAACCGAAAGGTCCACTTAACTCAACTAACCGAATGGTCTACTTAATGGTCTACTCAACTTTGTTTGGATAATTCTACAATCCTTTAGTAGAAGTAACAGGAAAATATTGGCTGCAAGCAAATGAAATGAAAATATTTATTGAAGCCTTTCAAATCTGGTTAGGAACAGAAGACCTCGATAACAACAAGTAATATCAGAATATCAGTCGTAGAAAAACTATAAATGAATAATTGAGAATTTTTAGCAACGAATAATACACCGGGAAACAATTGTAGTAATTTACAATCTCAAGACTAAACACAACACAACTAACAGAACTCTATGTGACATAGCAAAAAAATAAAATCCAATTATTTAAAAATTAATCGAACAACGAAATGATTACGAAATCGACAACAGATATAGGCAATCCCCTCTAGTAAAGGCTAAAATTACTAAACTGTTAAAAAAAAGCGGGGTAAAATTTAAAAAGAATAAGAATAATGAGATGCAATAAAAGAGCTCTTTTTAATGTGGCAGGCTTAGCTTAAAAGTACTTTTTTTGCACCCTCCATTAAGAAGAGAGACCAGAAATAGAAAGTAAAATAAAAAATGTATCTGAAAATTCAGTACAAAAAAGAGGTTTCAATCTGATAATAAATGTAATTAATAATGTATTCATAATCATATAATCATAAATAACTTCTAAAAACAAAACGAAAAAATACAAAGGAACGCCAACTTAAAATTACAATTAGATAAATGTCAATTCCTAAAGACACCTAATTTTTAGAACACGTTATAACAACAAATGATATATAACCTAATCCTAATAAAACAAGTGATTAATCAAACTATCCATTACCTAAAACCCCGGAATAGAAAAAACATAAAATTGGTTTAAGGAGGAAACCAGACATAAAAATTATTACACAATATAATCAATTAATGTGAAATCTGTAATATAGCCAAATCGAACATCCAAATACAAAAAAGTCGTGTGAAATAACACTTGAAATCCAAAATACAAGTGACGCCGCTCGACCGATCACGGGGAAATGCCTTCAAAACACTAGTTGTAATCGCCGGTTAGCGATAACATGGTGTTTTATTCTGAAATATGTACATCAGTTATCTTAACCTGAAATACAATTCCTTAGCTTTCATACAGCAGTTACTTTTCCCTCCCTCTGTGATGGTGCAAATCGGTATAAACCGGGCCGCCAATTTTAAGGTCGTCATCACACGATTTAGTGTGACCGAATAACATAACCCTAAAACCCTCACACAAATAATACTAACTGCTAGCGGCGCTAAATTTAAACTTAGCCCTAATCCGTTCCGCGACATCCCCACCCCCGTAAAGCAGCCGCATTCACCACGTCCAGCGGGGCGCATTGTCGTCTTGGCTTGATCGTTAGTCCGGACCGTCGCTCGACAAGGTACTGCATCTCTTCCGGTGAACACCTCTTCCACGACGCCTCGTTTCCACTCTCTGCGTGGTATGGCCGGATCACATATGAACATCAGATCTCCTCGACGAATGGGCTCGACGTGCTTGCACCATCTCTCCCTGCGGACAAGTGTTGGCAGGTACTCATTTTCCCATTGCTTCCAGAACCGATCACGCATCATTCTAGCTATGCGCCACTGCTTCCTGGTAGCGCAGCTCTCGGACTCCTGTCCGTCATCTTTGGGAAGGTCCGGAATATTGGGCACTCCCTTCAGCAAATCGTTAGGTGTCAGTGGAGCCTCCTGGTCCACCGTCACTGGTAGATGAGCGAGCGGTCGAGAGTTCACTATGCTCTCCGCCTCAATCAACAGATTCTCCAGTACGTGCTCCTTGGGCGCGGTCGTGTGCGCCAGCACCTTCTTCACTCACTGCACCATCCTTTTCCAGACGCCACCCCCAGCTGGGTTCGCTGTGCAATTAAAGATCCACTCGACTTCTTTGGACAACAGCTCGCCGAGGATCTGTGCAGGGTCAAACACTTCGCTGAACTTTTTGGCCTCCCAATTGGCTCCAACGAAGTTCTTCCAGTTGTCGCTTATCCTGAAGTTTCTCATGACGATTATACAGGAATCTGAATACGTGGACTATATCCAAGTGGCCCTTTTGGTTAGACATGTAAACAATGCCACCCGTGTGACGTCCAACAGTCACAAATAGTGGTCCAAAAGAAATCCAGGCCGGTAAACCTCCAAGCGGTCTCTGGCATGCCTTCTTAGCATGCAAACGTTGCATTGCTCCTCACCTTCCGTAGCAGCCACCGCAAGTTCATTATCCAGAACTCCTGCCTGATCGCTCCAATAGTTGACTCTATCTTTTGGTGTCATATTCTTTCATGGTGATGCCGCACAATCATATCCGCCAGAGCCTCCTTGTGAGACAGTATGACCGTCGACGCGCGCTGTATGGCACGCACTCCGTCCACGTCGAAGTATAGGGACAACCCGTACAGTTGGCTGCCCTTGGCGACCTTTTCTTGGCTGTCCCCAGCAAACGCTTTTCCCTGCGGTTGCCTTATCAGTACACGCTCTGCCTCAGCGCACTCCATCGACGTCAGTCCGTGGTCCTCTCGATCACAACGTAGTCCACGGCATCGTTCAATAAATCTGAGCACCCACGCGGTGCTCCTTATCACCCGGTTGTAGCTCGAAAGTCTCTGTAAGGATATGAAGCTCGCCGTGATTAGGGCAAACTCACATTTCATCACCTCTTCATCTGGCGTCGGGGGAATCCAATCCCCTTTCGATCTCTGCCAACTCTCTTCTGGTCCTAGTAGGCCCGGCCTCGTTTCATCATCTGCCACGATTTCGGCAGACGGAATCCATCACCATTGGGCTCGCGCGAAGTCCACATCGCGCCTCATTTTCCGTTCGAAAATAATGCCATAATGTAGCTCTCTGGCAGTCTCACCTCGTCGTCTCTCCACTCGCTCTCTCGCTTTGTCTACTACTCAGGGCCCGTGCGTCGCCTTCATCTGCGACTGACGGCGCCGGCTTCACCCCGCCAGAAGTGACTGACTGTGTCGGCTTCACACCGAAATTCTCGATCTCGAAGTAATCACTGACCATCTTCTCTGGAAGATTATCCTGTAGCAGGGCTAGGAGGCACGGTCTCTGAAGCGGTGAGCTCGTCTGGCCACTCTCCGGTTCATACACCACCCATCCAAGTGGGGTGGCTGCTGCATATGGTCCTCCAGATCCATAGCTTCTGGGTCTGACGGTATTCCTAGATGAGCATGATTCAGACTAGTTAGGATCCTTGGTACGGCTTCACGTCTGCCTTCACATCTTCAAATTGGTCACTCCGTACACTGGCTCATTGGCTTGCCCGCTGCACTGATCTGCAGGCTAAGCATTCTCGTCTCTTTGGCGAATTTTGGATTTTCCGCCAAACCGCCCTCACCTTTCAGGTTCAGGCTGCGGATGAGTTCGTCGACGATAAGCGTGACAGACGATCTTTCATCCAACAGTGCGTAGGTGTCGAACTGCGAATTCTCTCCGTACAGCGTGTCGGGAAGAATCCGGAATAGCAGGTGACCTCCAGTCGAATCAACACAACTCAAGTTTCGGTGCGATAATTCCTGGGAGTCGTATGTCGATCG